GAGAGAGAGAGAGAGAGAGAGAGAGAGAGAGAGAGAGAGAGAGAGAGAGAGAGAGAGAGAGAAGGCATGGGCGCGTGCGGGAAACAGGGGTCATGTAGAAAACAGTGCGCGCACAGGAAAAGCGGGCACGCACAAAACAGTGGGCGCGCGCGGGAAACAGCTTACGCGCACGGGAAATAGCGGGCACGCACAAAACAGCGGGTGCGCGCACGCGCGCAAGAGAGAGAGAGAGAGAAGGCATGGGCGCGTGCCACAGAGAGAGAAAGAGAGAGGAAGAGAGAGGAAGAGAGAGAGAGGGTATGGGCGCGCACGAAAACAGCGGGCATGCACATAACAGCGGGTGTGCGGGCGCACGAGCGAGCGAGCGAGAGAGAGAGAGAGAGAGAGAGAGAGAGAGAGAGAGAGAGAGAGGGTATGAGTGCGCGCAGGAAATAGCAGGCACACAGAAAACAGCGGGCGTTCGCGGGAAATAGCGGGCACGTGAGAGAGAGAGAGAGAGGGAGAGAGAGCGCGCGCGAGAGAGAGAGGGAGAGAGAGAGAGAGTTCTCAGAAAACAGTGGACGTTCATGGGAAATAGCAACCACACCACTCCCCCCCCACCCCACCCCACCCCCATGAAAAAAGTTCTCAGATCATAAATATCTCTGCGGATTCGGGGATATCTCGACAAGCGCAGTCCAACCCCGTCGTCAAAAAATAAATAAAAAATTAACTTTACCCGGTTTTGGTCCCAACCGGATTTCTGGTTGGACCACCGGGGGTCCGACCGGCCCGGCTGGATCCGGTCCGGTCCAACCGGCCGGTTGCCGGTGCAGCCCTGATGGAGTTAGGATTCAACTTGATGACAATTTGGGCCTTGCTGTAGCACCAATCAAATGTCAGAATGGCATCTTCACATAGAAGGCGTGAGCATAACATTTGCCACTATTTATAGCTGTGGATGCACTCACCACTTTTCATATTTGGTGAGCAGCGCAGTGAGGCCCTTGATGACGTTACTGTTTTCTACAGACTTGTATAGAGGAATAGAACAAAGCAGAAAAACCTTCCACCAATGCTGGAGGAAACAACAGTGTGCAGCTGCATATGACAACTGGCATGTACTTGCTGACTACTTGGTGGTGGCTGCACTCCAATAGATTTCCTCGCACACTTAAACAAGGTCTATGCATATGAGATCAGATCATGATAGATCCCTTCATTACAAACAAGAAATCGGTCATTGCAGCAAAGGCAAAAGGAGGAGAAAAACTGTCAAAGACGAGGTCATGCCCTCTCCCCCCTCTCTCCACGTAGCCTTGTTCCAATCAACAAATGTAGCAGGGGGCAATGACAGTGCCAAGCAGCATGACCCACAAATTGCCAGTTCTACAAGTGGGAGACAGCAGGCACAACACATGGTTATATGTAAGACAGAGGGCTGAAGAAAGTTGCACATTCATGATTGATGTTCGAGTAAGAGTCAGGAGACGCATACACACCCACCTCCGCCTGTCGTGCAAAGAGGTACTGCCGGAAGTCAAATTCTTTCACAACATCTTGCTGAACAAAGGCATCAACAGCTTTCCGGTTGTACTCCAAAAGTGAAGCACGCTCATCGCCATCATCCAGGCCCCCAAAATCTCTCGGTCGCACTGCCGCTGAATTCACTGCTGTAAAGGGATGGAAGTACTGCGTCCGTGAAACCTCTATTTGATTGATGATTGACGACCATGATTCATAAGGACGCCCATATAAATGTTTCCCAGTTAAGTAGAACCCGGAAACAATGCAGAGACAATTCAATACAGCAAGGCCAGATGGCAACAAAGACCACAAACAACAACGCGGACAATGGAGTCTTCTCCCCTTCAGTTCGAACATCCTCGTCTGAACGATTGTCTGAAATGGCTCCCTCCATCCCCTCCATCAATCCCTCTCTAGAAACCACTCCCCAACGGCCAATCTGTGCAACTCCCCCACACAAGACCTCCCATTACCAGGCATAGAGCATACACACTATGCTTGCAAAAAGGTCCGAACTAAGGAAACAAAGCATTCAAATTGAGGAGTACTGTCATACATACGACAGGAAATAAAGTACAATCACACCCATGCCAGACCTACCAAACACAGCCAAGGAAATGTCAATCCCCATTATCCCTCCATGCCCACCCCCCCTCGAAAAAAATAAAAGCAAATCCTGTGCACTCCCTATGATCATAAGTTTGTTCAACCACACTTCACCTGTATTTCTAGGTTACGGAACATTGGTATGAACCTGACATTCCATTTTCGCAAGGGACACAAATGTCCTCTTCCCATGGGAGTATCACATGTGATAGACAAATTGAGCCCCAGCCCCCCTGCTTCAGGTTTTGCAACTTCAACATAGCGAACAGTTAAAACACCGACTTAAAAGTAATCCGGACGGCCCACTCCGCAGTGCGACACACAGTCAGAAAGACTCATCAATAGGCACTAACAAGTTACTACACACCAACACCATTATTCAACTCCATTCCTGCACAAACCGTAATAGAACATCATTCTGTTGTATCCAACTATTTAACAAATGTTCACAAGAAATCTTGTCAATCCTAGTTGAATGCACACCTGTAATGCGCACCACACAATGTCATATGTTGTGCACTCTGCAGCTCAGATGACCTAGGTGGGGTGCACATGGAGCGAACAGATCATTTTCAGGTGTAATCAAAACTAAGATCATTTTTATTTGTTATGAATTCAAGCAATCCAATCTTAGAGATAGCATCGTGACAAAAGTTGCTCTAAACAACAATTGAAAACTCGCATGACAGACGAAGTTCCCAGGGCTCGATCCCTAGACCTGCCCCTTTTTCCCATGTACAGTACCCGTTGACCCCTGTGTGTTCGAACTCGCGACCTATCCCTGAAAGTCGTATGTTCGACTGCTGTACATAGTCTGGTCGCGTGGAGTCGACCCGTAGACTTTTGTGTTCG